GTACTAGTTTTAATGCTTGTGTTCAGCTCTGATATTTCGAAGGTCAAACACCAGTCCTGGAAAGTCAAAGAGTAAAATGCAGGGAATTTTAACATTAATAAACTGCTGCTTGAGATGCTTTTGTTCAGAAATAAATATACAGACTAAACAGAGCAAACCATAGTAATCAATCTTCAGTTAATCATAACAAAAATAAAGTTTGCATTTCTTTCTGTGTAGTCAAAGAATGTTGTAAATGTGATGTATGGTTTAGTAAGAGAGTTGGTGAAATGCAGTTTCACCACTTCTTAAAAGACAAAGTTCAGTGACAATTCCAACCCAATTGTTTTTATAATATTCGGTACAACACTCAGTATTATAATCCTGTCTGGAATCCTGGGGTTATGATCCTTTAGGAATTGTATAATTAAATAGAACTCCTTCAGCAATCCCACAGAGAAGATTTTACAGGGTTTTACCTGAGATTTCCCACATTTATCCATCAAGATATTTCACAGGAATCATGGAGGTTTGTATTACATGTGCATGAGAGAGGTGTTCTCTGAATATTTTGTACTCTATAAAAAATTAAAAATAATATAATCGAAAAATATGAAATAACATATTTTAAAGACTAAAGCAAACAAACCCAGTGACAAAAATTCCTAATTTCTGCTTCATTTAAGGAGCTTGCCTGTTTTTTGTTCTATTTTTTGTTCTAACAGAGCTGTCAAGAACTAAACAGCTGGTTGCTAATTAACTCAAAGCCAGCTCAGTACATTACCCTTGTTTTTCTGCATCACAGACTTAACAAGAATATTGATACTAATATACTTAGTTTACAAGTCAAGGTGCTTTGTGGCTCAATGGTTTAATTACAAGTGTAATTATTACTATCAGCACATCATCTAGAAATCATTCCACTCTTTCTTTGATTCCTCTGAGAAAGTGGTAATTAATATATTATCATATATTTTTTTAGAAAGTTCTATACAGTGTGTTACTGTTTTCAATTATTTTCCATATGCTGGTATTTATTTTGACATGGAAAAAACAAGTACTGTATAACATTTCCAGTCTTGGCTGGCAGGCACAAGCCTTTTTAAACACATGGTGCTTATCATATTTTATGGCTCAGATGGCCTTTGTCATGTGCATTTAAAAAAAATACATTGATGGGATTCTGTGATTCCAGTCCAAGGAAGCTCTTTGTAATTCTTGCACTTCTACAGCATCATCTTCTTGATTTTATTTAAAATATTATTCCTGTCAGCTTCAATCCTCTCACAAGTATAAATACTACAGGCCACACTGAACCTCGAATTCATGGTGAATTGGAAAATGTCTTCCCAACAAAATGAACATGCAGTAAATATACAGAAACCCATTGAACACAATTTTATAAGCTTACGTTTTCTGTTGTTCTCTTTTTGTTATAAAGCCTTTATAGCTGAAAAAGGCAGCAAGCCCATTATATTTATGGACATTAGTTTATAGTGAGAGGAGAGAGAATGATTAGGGGAGGAGTCAGTTGAGTGAAAACAACTTACAGCAGCCCTGGAATCGCGGAGACAGAGATTCTGTTTCAGACAAGAGTCATTCTGAGTTATTCCTCACTTATAGTGCAATATCTTAGAATGCAAAGCAGTACATTTTTTATTTGTTTTTACTGGTTAAAATTAGTACCCTGCCCTGTCCTTCACCAAGTGGTTGCTCATTCCCACCGATAAATTTGGACTGGTTTTATTTTATGTTCTTTTTGCTTCATATTTAAAATATGCAAAAACCAGAATGAGGAAATGATTCTGTAAAAAAAAAAATGTTCTTGCTTGTTTTTCTTATTGTCAATGCTATCACCAGTTTGGAATTTGTTAGCTGTAAATGAATGTGACATACTACTGTACCTATGACCCTTCTACTAGGAAAAAACAGATGACTCCCACAATGCCTACAGCCGAGTTAGAATTGGATGGAGAACCGATGCAGGTGTCTCTGATATATTCATTTCAGCTGACATACATGTACTGCAGCTAAGCCAGAACTGCTGTGCCTTAGTTTAAAATGTCTCATCTCTGGCTGTGGATAAGAATGTTTGGGGCTGAGCGATTTTCCTCCACGTATTCAATTTTTCATTCATTTTTACATTCAAGGTGAAGGCTGGATTTTAAGCCGTGCACTGGAGCATTGGGAGCGTTAGGGTTCAGATCTGGGTGTGACCCTAATTTCAGTCTACTGTACTTTTTATTCTGTTCATCTTGGATCAATCTTTTTTTTTTTACACTTAGTTATTATGGAAAAAAAACCCAAAATCTAAATAACAACAGATGATCCCACAGAAGCAGAACAGCTACAAAGCAAACAACTGGAGCAGGAAAACACAGATGGCATAAAAGCTACTTCTTTATATCTCGAATAAAACCATGGCTGCATTTGGAGCTAGCTAATAAGAGGGGTTTTATTTATGAGGTAAATAAATATATATGTAAGATTTGTGAGTGTTTTTGGTGGAGTATCCTTCGAATGACTAACGATCTGCTGTAAGGCCGTGGCAGTAGCAATGTGTCCCATGGGCACTGCTGTTAACTGTAAGAGAGCCCTCTGTCAACGTGTGCAGTGAACCATTTCCAATAGCAGTTGATATTTCCTGTAGGGAGGAAGGTGAGGCTCTGGGGTTAGTCAAGAGCATTGTTTGCCTGTTCTCCCCTCAGAGGCTGTGGAGTCACTGCTGATGTGTTCTGGGATTTATTTATTGCTGTTTGAGGAAACCACTGGAGACAGCATGTTCTGCTGCCCGCAGTGACACCGAGGGGCCTCAGAGTAACAGCACAGTGCACTTAACCACTTAAATATGAAACCAGGCAAAAGCAGCCTGACTGACCCGAAATATTCATATGTCTGAAAGTGAAGATAACCAGGTTCAGTATATAAAAATATGCAATGGAGAATAAAAAAATAATATGCTAAATATTATCTTGAACATGTTTGTGTTCATACTAAATAATTGGGATGGTCAATTGTATTGTACTTTATTCATTGTGTTTGCTCGGTGAATAAATGTAGTGTACTATATGGAACTCCCAGGTTGGTCAGTCAGTGGAGTCCTTAGTTTGAATGTATTGTCCTTGCACTGCCTTTCCCTGAATATTCTCCATTCCTAAGATCTAAAGCACAGCGTTTTTGAAACTGCCTTTGTGACAAAGATTTACTTTGGGAAATTATGCTTGTCTTAATCTTGTGTGGTAAGGTGGAGATAAAGTACAGGTGAAGTCAGAATGTAAGCCCTGCTTAATTTAAACTGGCTAAAAGGGATGAATCTGTATTGCTCAGCTTATGTAACACAGTGAGATGCTGCTGCAAAAAAGGCCAACTTCACAGCAGCACAAAAGAGCAACTATTGATTCTTACACATGGCCAGAATACCATGGTATTGTGGCAACCTTTATCTTCAGAAGCAGATTAAGAATGATGATTGTTCTGTTTAGGTATACAAATCAATGATGTGGCCTCTTTTATTCTGTGAGAGTCATTCCACAGGACAGGAAACTTTCATTGGTGAATGGCTGCAACTCAGCCACTGAATTCTTAGCATGTCAAAGAAAAGTGCAGTTAATGAATAAGAACAACTGGACTTTTTTTTCTAATTTGTCACCGTTGGTTGATTTAAAAGCAAACCACACAACATTTTGCGATTTCCTGAGTTTTTCCGTAGTCTCCATTGATTATTAAGTGAATTAAATGATTACCATTTAATTCACACCACCTTCTCCTCCCTAAATCTCTGACCTACCACACATGCACAGTAGTGCATCATCAGCACACAATAATGTTATACTGCATACTGCCTTTAAGACCCAATTATCCCAAGCACCAAAATCTCATCTGGTTCCAAATGTCAAGGAAATTGTTCCTTTGTAAAAGGTATAAAGGTGCCCTTTGGCGAAGCACTTATTACTGACACAGTATTATCAAAATTGGTGGTAGAGAGAGGGGGACAGGATTAAGGGGGAATAATTTAACACTTTGCCTTCCAATCAATTCATCCAATATAGGATGCAACTACTGTTTCTGAAATCTTGTCCGAGTTTCTCGCACAGATTCTGCTTGTTTTTGAAAAACTGAAGACTAAGTTATTGAGTTATAAAATATAAAGCAGGATTATATGTCTTTCTTTGTGAGTCTGCACTCTCTCCTGTGGGCTAAATATTGTACTTCAGTTGAATTTTTTGTTCTCCTGAGGCTATGCTTAAACACAAAAATAGAAGAAAAACAATATATATAAAAAAACAAATGAAAATATTATTTTCATGCATTTCTTATTCCCTTAGAATAACATAAAGTTATGCATTTGAGGTAGTTACCGTGGCAACACTGTCTTGAACAGGGTTTAGCAACTCCAGTCCTGGAGAGTTTCTCTTTCATTCAAGCCCAGTTCTCCGTTAACAGATTCATCAATTCATTGTTTTAATTAGTCCTCATGAATGGGATTTTTAGCTGCAGATTAAAGACACTTTTCAGAATAGGGACTTGAAAATAAATTAGTACGCCGCTTCAAGCATGATACCCTTTGTGTATGGATTGACATAAATTCATATAGTTGGATCCCCAATGTCCAGCATATTGTCCCTTTACATTGAATATAGTAAACTGTAATAAATTAAGATTATGCAATACTGTGTTTATAAGTCTTCTGTCTTTGTAAATTGCGATACCTTTTTGTATACTGTACTTAATTTGTTCCTTTTTTTCTTTTTCTAAATGTGACAGTTTGACAAGTTGGATTTGTGGTTTTGCAGTATAGTATCTCAAAGCAGATGGTAAAGTAAGACAGCCTTAATTGTGCGAGGAGCACTAAGAACGCCTTGTGGGCACTCAGTACACCCTATCAGTAACCTTTACTCTTTGCTGTGACCCCACTAAACCCTAACTCTAACCCTGGACTTCAACCCACATGGACCTGTGGTGATTGACCCTGATTTAGATGTGCTGTCATTGATCTGCCTGTCTTTCTCCGTCTCGCGCAGGTATGACTACCAGGAACTGCTGCACAACTCCACCTTCTGTCTGGTGCCCCGGGGACGTCGGCTTGGGTCATTTCGCTTCCTGGAATCTCTCCAAGTAAGGTCTTGTCTGTCACTGTGGCACACTCCCTGACCAGCGTATGTGCGTAAACACTGGTTCATTTCTACCACTGAGACAATAGAGGAGGGTGTCACCTATCCGTTTGGTATTATATTGTGTTTAAACGCTTGTTAATTGATATTCTTCACAAGAGTTGTTACATTGATACCTGAATTGTTCCGAACAGAAAATGTGAACCCACAAAAATAAAAGATCCTGCATTGTGGTACATTGTACATTTCTACCACCGAGACAGTAGAGGAGGGTGTCACCTGTACGTTTGGTATTATATTGTGTTTTAACGCTTGTTAATTTATATTCTTCACAAGAGTTGTTACATTGATACCTGAATTGTTCCGAACAGAAAATGTGAACCCACAGTTTTATAGTTGAGTTTAATCAGGTAAAAAAAAATCAAAGCATTGCGGTACATTGTACATTTCTACCACCTAGACGATAGAGTAGGGTGTCAGCTGTCCGTTTGGTATTATACTGTAGTCACCTGCCAATTTCTGCATTTTGTTGTCCAATTTGCATTGTACAGTAACTGCCGTCTCGTGATCCACAAATCCTAGGTTCACCAAGCTCTGTGATTTGAGCCAAGAAGCAGGATTCATTAAACTGAACATGTCAGACCAAGGGAATGAGTCCTGGATACAGGATATACCTGCAAGATTGGACTTGAACTGATTTTTGTGTTGTTCAGCTTATTTGTCTAGTCTAGTTTGCTAATGAATTGCTTCCAAATCCTCTCTCCACACTTTCAAAGCTGTTCCTGTCTTCATGTCTAAGATGAACGTTTTTGTTAAACAGCAAGTGGTGAAAGAGCTGAAAGTCTTGTATTCTTTTTCTTTGCTGTGCTACACTCAGGATACATTATCAAGATACAGAAATCTATTTTTTTCACACATGTCCATAAGATACATAGGGGGAGTTTTGCATATTGATTGGGTGACTAATTTGAGCTTTTTTTCTAAAGCAAATATGCATGTTTTTGCATAACATTATTTGAAATAATATTTCTAGTCAGTACAATTTTCTGTGACAATAAACTAATGATGCAGTGAGCATCACTGCAGGATTTGAAATAGCCCAGGCTGTCTTGACATTGGATTTTTGCTTGAGTCACTGCCAATTCATGGTGCTTGGACCTATAAATTGGACACAGCAAAACTAGGGAAACACAAACTAACATTGGCTGATTTCCCAGGGAAGTTAACAGGTGTTTATATAATCTATAAAATTCTAAAAGGCAGCAGTTTTATTAATGGGCATGGGTTGTCTTATCAGTAGTGATCAGTACATTTGTTTTAAAAAATGTTTTGCACTTGAAGCTCCTTCCATTCTTATAGTATAGATGTGGCTGGCATCTCTCTGAGGACCTCAGACACTGCCAGATATTCCCTTTTTTCTACACACTTTTCCTTTTCTCTTCTACAAGGCTAGAAAGCTTACGTAGCTGTACCATCTGTCAGGCATGCTCCATACAGGCTGCTCATCTGCAGATTACAGGGGTTTGTAGTGCTAAATTTGTCTGGAACATCTCCAGCTGCCCAGCTACCAGCTACTGCTGCCTTGAGGCCCCAACTTTGTCTCTCAGAATGTTCTGAGGTGGGCTGAGGCACTTGAGCTGCCTTTGGGTCCAGAACTATCCTTCAACACCACAGATTTCTGCATCTACCAAAGTAGTTAAATTATTCATGCCTCCGTTGAGCAGGGATGCCAAGTTCACAGAGGCTGCCTGGTGCCTGGAGTTTTTTTTATCCAAGCCAAACTCTCAGTTAACTCAATTTATGTAATTAGTGGCTCAACTGGACCTTTAACATTTTTCCAAGGCCTTTCAAAGGTTCAGCATCTGAACAAAGGGGTTCCTGTGTGGCTCAGCTCCAAGTGCAGGTTGAAGTCTATGGCCCAAGCAGAGTGAGTGTCTGCTCCTGGACCACATCACTAACTGACTGCAGAGCAATGCCGTGTGTGAGGCTGGTCTGCAAGGACTCTCTTGCCCAGGCAGCCTGACAACCTAAACAGGCTGCTGTCAGCCTCTCCCTCCTGATCAAGGAAAACTAGGAAAATTCCAGAGCAACCACAGCTAACCATTAATGGCCACAGCCTAGGGCCACCAAAGAGACATGGCTTCAGAAATGCTAATTTAATGTGCTAAAAGAAGCAGAATGTGAAGGGACTGTGCTTCAAATGCCAGGAGAAAGCCTAATTCTAATCCTGGAATGTGCTTCATAAATCTTACTAGTGTATCTTTCAAGTCTTTTTGCACTGGTGTGTGATGATGTGTGTGAGGTGAGGCCAGTGCAGCCGTTCATAAGACAGTATTCACGTACTGTATGAAACAACTCAAGCAACATGGGTTTGGCTCACTTCTCCAAGGCAAAATGGTCTGGAGCCCATTGATACAATATTGCCCGCATGTAGATCAAGAATTGGCTGATGAGTTCCCACCTGGTTTAAAGCCTTAGTGTCTCACTGAAACCATGGAGGTATGACATTCTGAATTTATATAAACTATTTATTTGTCTGAAAATGCATGCAAGACATTGAAATCCATCAGCAGATATCATTTTGTTGACGTCTTTTGGCCAAATCACACATTCAACATATTCCTGTTTGTCAGCATCAAATCAGCATATAGTATGACTGTATTCACACATCTTCAGTATGTTACGTAAGTTTGTTTTTCTCACTTCAGCTCATCATAACATTATGTGCTGTTGATATTTAAGGAATGACAGGACCATTGTATCAATTTCTAAGCCTGCCATTCTTTATTAAGGTAGTGTACAAACACCTGTTAGTACTATATATGTCTAAAACTTTGGCTTTGAGGTACAGTGTATGAGAGGTAGTATGGAGTTTGTTTTCCTTGCTTGGATAAAGTGAAGACAAAGTTATTTTATTATAGATTCAAGCTGAAAAGCACCTGAGGCAAGCTACATTATATGACATTCTTCAAAAGAGTTGTTACATTGATATCTGAATTGTTTCAAACAGAAAATGTGAACCCACAGTTTTATAGTTGAGTTTAATCAGGTAAAAAAAAATCAAATATCCCGCATTGTGGTACATTGTACAGTGGCTTTTTTTGTTTTTATTAAGTTTGACATCCACTGTCTTAATCACCTTCCCGTTTCTAAGCCCTCAGTTAGTAAATGGCTTAAAAAAGCTCTGAGCCAGTTTGGATATCCCACTTAAACAGTTTATAACTCTTAAAGCGAGAGAGATCCCAGAAATTCCACCTGGATTTATAAATACCTTAAGGGCAGAAGCTGAAAAATAAAAGCGAACAGACAGCCTGGACAAACAACACTGGCTGTTGGAGCACTTCAGCCTAAAACACAACAAGCGCAGAATTTCTTCAGCTGTTTGTGTAAGGGAGTGTTTTTTGGGCTTGCTGACTGTTTGACGAGATTTACTTCCTGAGACTTAAATAAGTGTTCTGCTTTAAGTTGCTCTGAATTGTGCTGATAGTGCAGATCTTTTGTGGTTTGGCTGTAAGCAGTCTCTTTCAGTATCTCCTCCTTTCTCTCTCTCTGCTCTAATCGAGTTCTCAGTTGCAAATCTGACTGTTTCTACTGGCCAAACCCATAAAAGAACTGGCAGTTATCAGTCTCTGGAAACTTACCCTCCCAGCCAAATTCCCACCCCCACCAGAAAAGAAAAACAAAAGGAAACACAACACAGCCTTGGGTTCTGACTGACAGAGAAGAAAGTTGCTGCATTTCAAACCTTTTATTCTGGTTTTAATCCGAGCTGGCTGGACACTTTACAGCAGCCTTTTCATGTGAGCACGAGCCAAGAGGAAATTTCATTTCCACCCCTCGTTTCAAAGCGTGGATTTATTTCTGTTGCCACTGGGAATTAAGGGGTAGAAGCGGATACGTGGGTGCTGGGAAGGAGGAGGTGGGAACACTGGACACAAGCATGAGTTCTTGTGATGCCATCTTGTTTGGAGAAGCCATGAGCAGAATCTGAATGGCAGTTATTGGCAGTTACAGCAAAGTCAGTTATTGCAAAGTAATTGGTATCTACCTCTCGGTTTGTATACTGTAAAGCATAGTATCCCAAATTTCAGTCCTACATCGACCCTGTCCCCTGCTTCTTTCTCCAAAGTAGACTTGCCGGTACGTCTGTGAATTGATCAATGTCTTAATTATCCTTTTTTACATTTGATTTCAGCTTAGAATAAGTGAGGGATGTCAAGACATTTGAAAGATTTTACTGATAGATTAAATTTACCTTCTTAGAAGAATTTAAAATGCTTTAATTAAACAGATTATTATTCCAAAAACTGTAAAATTAAGTCGTAAAGAATTCATTTGGGATGAAAATGTGAAATAAAGGGAACTTTAGATTTAGATCTCTGATTTGATATATCCCACTCTGTCATGTGATTTCATTATGGGTCTCTCTTGGTGTTTCTGTTTGCATAGAAATTTGCCATTCAAATAACCTGCTCTAGCAAGAATGTGTGTTTGGATATCAGAGCATAGAGTGACTGTAAAAAGGAAGCTTCTGTGGAGATCAAAATTAGTATGAAAGGCTTAAAATAGCCCATTGTTGTTCTGTTAGACTTATTAAGTAATTGATACCATAGATAATGAAATAAAAGGATAGAAGGAAGAATAGCTGGAGCAAAGTATAGGGAAATACTATAAGGAAAACCTGTATCAGTCTGCTAAAGACTTAAAACTAGTGTGAAAATTCACCTTTCAGCAGGAAATGATCAGAAGCACGAGGCCAAAGCTACACTCCATTTTCAATTTTAAGGCTGCAATCTTTAAAGCAACAAAATAATGTGAAAGATATGCAAAACTCTGAATGTTTTGCAAGGCACTGCACAAACAAGCCAGCAAACCACATGGAGGGTTATTTGGAGGAAACTTTTGTAACAATCAGATAAAGACTCTGAGCAAGTACATTAGGTCAAAAGGACATCTGTCTTTTTTATAACCTGTCCTATTTTCTTGTCCCGTGTTTTCTGCCCTGCAAAAACAACCTCTTAATCTAATTTTTAAATCTGTAAGCATTTAATGGTTTACAGAGACTTAAGGTTTTGTAGTCTACTGAGTTAGTAATGATATTTTTAATTTCTCAGCATGAGCAACTGCACTTTTCTACCACACACTTTTCTACCTTTCACTAAGCAGGCAAATAACTTGCATCTAGTGGTGATTTACATGTACAGCACACTCTATTAAATATCTATATAAAGTACAATTTCAGTATCTGTCCAAAACTAGGCTCCCATCAAGAAGCATTGCACCTGAATCACATAAGCTTCAATAATTGTGCCAGGCCAATTCAGGATGGAGCCATCTGGATACCTGTTAGTGTACAGAACTGACCTGTCAACTATCAGCTCTCACCAGGTGCCCGGTTACAGTACATCCTTAATGGTCATTACATGGCATCAAGGTTATACTTTGTAAAACAAAGTATTACAAAGTGTTCCCTTAACCTTGACATATACCGAGGGGCATTATAAACAAAACAAATGAGTACTGGAACTGTATTTTTGTATTGTTGTGTTTTTTTATACCCCATTTTGTGATCTCAAGCTCTGTAACCTGGTCAGCTAACATTAATCCTAATTTAAATGAGATAATTCACATTATCATTTCACTCATCCTTTCCTGTTGGAAAAATGTATCTTATAATACAGTATTTCAATGGTTGAAGCGTGCCATGCACGGGTTGTGGTGAGCAGAAATAATTTTTACTACCAAATTGCAAAAATATCCCAGAATCAGACTCAATTAGAAACAGTATCCCCTTAGACCACAAACTCAATGAATGCATCTTTCTTAAAGAAATTGGCTAACAATGAGTTCCGCTCTCTGTAATGCTAATAATTACCATTAGGGCTCACTCATCCTTTTTCTTTTCAGTTAGTCCAGAAATAAGATTTAAAACCAGCTTGTTTTTGCTAAAATGTTTTGAGTGTTTTGCTGCTGTTTTTTTTAGTAAAAAATCAAACTAGTATTTGAAGCAGTAAGATGCAAGCAGGGTTTTACCCAGTTTGATCAAAGTTTGTGCTTTCTGCTTTTCAACTCATTGTTGGTGACTGTATTGTTTTTAATTGATGCAATTTTTAGATGGAGGTGAAAAGCCTCCTTAGGTTAAACCCAAGAGGCTGAGAGATTGTGGTAACAGCCTGCAGATGTCTGACGCTTGTATGCTTGTGTGTGTATTCCCCTCAGGCCGCCTGTATCCCTGTGCTGCTCAGTAATGGCTGGGAGCTGCCTTTCTCTGATGTCATCCAGTGGAGCCAAGCTGTCATCGAAGGCGACGAGAGACTTTTGCTGCAGGTACCCCAGGAGCCACTGTGTGCACAACACCATAGAAGCATTAAATGCATGGAGCCTTCTCATCCTCAACCAGCAGATTAGGTTAAAAGGATGGAGGATCCAGTGGTGATGGAAAAAGTTTTGTTACTAGGAAGTTTCCAGCTCAGTCCCCAGATATGCCAGGCTTTCAAGCCTTTGAGGAAGTTTGCGAACATCCTTCAAACATTACAGAAAAACAAATAACATGGAACACAAGTGAAAAATCAAAAACAGGAACACTTCTTAATATAAAGGTCTGTGGGAGTCTGGAACATGCCTAGCCATGTTATTGAAGCTGATACCAAGGATGAGATCGTTGTATATGCTGTATTTCTAGGCAACGTCCTCTGTTTTTTGGAATGCCTTAAGAACTAAGATTGGCAAACTACTTGACTGGTATCAAGACTAATGTATCTGCCTTAGGCCAGAATTGATGTCTTTGTCTGCCTTATGCTTACTGCTTTTTTGTTGGTTTGGCACGATAAGTTCAATGTTTTGTAGAACACATCCCTACATTATTCATTCTTACATATAGAAAAAGTATAGTACATTATAGTAAAGTATTATTATAAAGTAAATAAAAAACAGTATAATATTGACAGTCAATAAGTATATGGTGCATATGTGTGTGTGTACTGTATATGTAACTCTTACAAATATTATTGAGCAAACAAGTACAGTGTAACTTCTTTTCAGCGGTAAAAGTGTAGTAGCTTCCCACATTCGAGTGGTAGGATGGTGAATGTCCTTGTATTTTAGATGCTGCATATAACCCGAGCAAACTGCATCATAGCTGCACAATGGCTCCCAGCAGTCACAGCTGAGTCGCTCCACTGAGAGCATGGTATCTCCAGGGAGGAATCTCTGTAGTGTCGTTTGAAAGCAAAACTCTTGCGACGCCCCAGAAAGCTGCCATCTGTGTTTCAAATCCCTGCTGTCAGTCTATGTAACTGTTATTAAGGATTTGCAAGGTAAAATTAAGTCCAGACATCTTTTCCCAGCTTTAGAGAGCTCTCTGCATGATACTCGATAGACTCACCTGGTCCCTACGCAGTGTCTTGCAAAAGTATTCAGACCCCCGCGCAGTTTTCACATTTTGATGCTTAAAGTTTGCCGTCATGACACTTTGAAGTCGCAATTAATATTTGGTAAACACATAACCTACTCAACACAGACAAAGTCAAAAACACCAAAGCAATGAGAAAGCAAATGTGAAAAGTTTCAAATGCTAAGTAAGTCTGGGCTTTTCCTTTTAAGAGTTTTTTGTTTTTTCATCTAGGCATCTCAGGGGACAGATACAGGAAGAAAAATAATCCTGCCTTTCTTAACAATATCAGATATTCTGTTTATTTAACCATTTATCATATAGGCTTGATCATTTTTAATATGCATCATGTGGAACAGATACCACAACCAAGGCCAGTCATGTTGTGAAAAAAGGTTTTATGAAAGAAAATATTTTATTAAAGCAAAGTCACTCAAAAGTGCAGGGAGTAAATTAAAACAGAAACCTGCTTTTATCTCTCAGTTGCTCTCTTTCAATCACCATTTTTGTGTTCCAAGTTAGGAACAGTGCAGTGTTATAGCTCCCAGGATAGACTGATTGACTGAACATGAAAACATATGAATGCTTCTGCATTCTCACGCTGGTCAATAAGTCTGTCACCATCACTGAGAGCACAGCACTCCACCTGCTAATTAGGGTGTGAAAGCAACTGGCTTGCAAAAATATGCCTGAACAGGGCTAGAATCCCATTTAATTTGAAGGTGAAAGGAAATGAAAAACACTCCTGCCTGATTAAATGTAACACTTTTTGGCCTTATACAGGCACACAGAATCCATGGATCTCTGTATCTTCTCTCTTCCAGGTCCCCTCCACTGTCCGCTCCATCAGTAACGACAAGATCCTGGCATTCCGACAGCGCACACAGATGCTGTGGGAAGCCTACTTCTCCTCTGTTGACAAGATCGTGCTGACCACGCTGGAGGTGGGTGTTAGAATGAGGCTGGTACAGATGGCGCCCTGCATTCTGCGGGCCAGTCTAAGACACCGGCATTCCAGCACTTCCACTGGGAGAGAGAGAAGCAGAGTGGGACTGGGCAAGGAGCTTTTTCGGAATGAAAAACAACATTTTGGAGAGAGGCAGCCCATCTGCCAGCCGTGTTGACGTGCCAGTTAAACTCCAGCAGCCGCCTGTCAGGCAGAAGGGGCATCTTTGCGAGGCTGGGTCGGGGTGGCACAAAGAGACAGACTAGATTTAACTGGTATAGAGTCTGGCAAATGAAACACTCCTAGGCTTGGCCCCTGTCAAAAATCTGTCATGTGCAAGTTCATCTGAATCCATCAGATTCTCAAACAAGCTGTGGGGCAGGGTCCCTAAAGTACCATTCTGGAAAGTCATAGTATTTTCTCTTTTTTGTTCCAAAGTGAGCTCTTGGTTACTTAATTTAACTCTTAACTAATAACACAGTCCAAACCCAATTAAAAAGTAACAGATCTTGCAGTTATTGTAGAAAATCTTTAATTTCGCCATTACTTTGAGGGTAACTACGAAGGAAATTCAAGTTTAGCTATGCTCCTTTGACTTTTTGCAAAAGACTTTTGTTTTCTCTGTAGCACATCACATCCTGATTCACATTTTTAAATGGCATAACCTTTGTGGTCAGTTACAAATAAACTGGATCGAACTACTTTGTTTTCCAAAAGAGATTTCCGATATATCAGCCCCGCTGCCTCTCCTGTTGTAAACTGGCATATAGCTTTATGTGCTTGGAGCGAAATGAGACAAAGCATTCTCTGGCCCCACTGGAGTTATAGGGATAGTTGTCTGTAGCAATCTGCACATGTACTATAAAAACTAAGTGTTGTTCTTGGGTCAAGAACTCCTTAAGCAGAACAGCTTCAGTGAAACAGGGGATTGATATTGGAGCAGAGCCAAGGAACAGGAATCAGATTCATTGATCACAGTGAATTAAATCAATCTTCATATTTCTGTTGATAGATACACGATAGTTAGCACATTTTACTGTATATAATATGGTGGAGTGGCAGGGTGGCACTAGGACCCCGGTTCATTTCTATAATTTCTGCGATCACCCTGTGTTCATATGGGATTTCAGCTCCATTTTCCTCCCACATTCCAAAAACCTACTGGTAAGTTAATAATTGGCTTCTGGAAAAACTGGCCTTAGTGTGAGTGTGTGTGCCCTGTGATGGACTGGTGACCAGTTCAAGGTGTATCCTGCCTTATGCCCATTGCTTGCCAGGGTAGGCTCCCCCATGACCCTGCTGCCATGAATAAAGTCGTTAGAAAATGGAAGATTATATACAGTACTGTACTGTATAGCATCTTACAATGAAAACAAGAATATTTTGACTTGGCAGAATTCATTGCTGCCTACTGTAGAAACTAGTGCTGTGTTACTCTGAAGGCTGGAACATGTGTGACCAAATTTGAGGAGGGGTAGAATGGCATACATTACACATTCTATCAACAGAATATGTTGAAAAAATGTTAAAAACCTTATTTGACTTCCTTGTCAATATGTCATTTATACTTCCCAATGCAAGCCTTTTGACCTACAGTAGACAGCAGCAACTATTCATTTGGTTCGTTACTATATTAGTTTTATCTTGAGTCTCATGTAAGCTTGAGATGCATAACTGTTCAATATTTTTATGCTTAAGTGGAGAATCAAACATTTCGAGTAAAATGGTGGCTTCAAAGAAAACAGGTTATATGTTCATTCTTTCTAACCCTTTCGAAAACATTCTCAGACAACATATGAGAAGTGCTTCAAGGATCGGGGCTGGGTCAATCAAAAGGTCCATACTGAGATATGGAAAGCAAAGCTGTATCTTTAAATTCTGTGTGTAAAAATCAAGCAACTGAGGGAAGTTAAAAAAAATGTGCAGCAAAATGTGGAAATTTACACATGGGAGGCTTTTCCCAGTTGTTTGGAAGTTTAGTTCAAGGGCTTGCCCAATAAAGATGCAAGCAACTTATGGAATAGAATATTCACCTGTGTCAAATCGTATAACAAAAAACAGACATTGGCGGTAAAAGATGCAATGGTTTCAGTGCTGTACTCGATGAGTGTGCATCTAAATGACCTACAGTACTGTATAGCAGTTCTGATCGGCAGTTCTTGCGAGATACTGTGACTCAGACAGAATCTGAGAAGAGATGTGCTGTCTAAACCCCATGGCACAACCACAGGGCAAGATACTGTATAACAAAGGCGTTTGTTAATCATTTTGAGTAAAGGAATTGACTTTTCACTGACAACTGACAGTGCCCCAGCTATAGTCGGAAGAACAGTAGGGATTTGTAAGGATCATTGAAAATCAAATTGGCCACTTGACAGTAAATATTCATTGTATTATTCATCAAGAAAATCTTTGTGCCAGAACCTCTAATTCTGAGCTTAATAATGGTATGACTACAGTGGTGAAGATAGTTAATATTCTTCTTGCTTGATCTGTTTTGATACAAAGGCAGGTTCAAGCTTTGTTTCAGGAGATGGACAGTGTAAATGAAGACATTCCACTTCACAACAATGTTTGTTGGTTCAGCCATGGAAAGAGTTTGGCACTTTGTCGATTGTCTTAATTCATTAAAGGTCTTTTTTTCAGAGAAAGGTTACAATTACCCTTAACTGGAGAAATGGATCACCCAATTAATATTTCTGACATCTAAACAAACTTAATCTCTGTATGTAGGGTGCAGGCCAAACTGTTTTTTTTTATTTAAATAGAAGCCATTTCTTGTGAAACTTGCCATTTTTTCTCAGGACATTGACACCTCTAATTTCCTCTATTTCCAGTATATTAATTGCACCATCATGAACTGTAAAAACTAAGTGTTGTTCTGGGGTCAAGAACCCTTTAAGTACATGTACAACCGCTCAGTGTTGCCAAGAAGGGAATGTAATGTTAGATACAGTATAAAGCTTTGCAACATTTTGGCCATGTTTTCCATTCTGATCAAACCACACTACTTTGATACTAGCAACACGGATTTGACGGGGTTTCAGTGGTCTGGTTTTGATAATTTCAAAATGCAGCTCATTGAACAACTGAGCTTAATGCACACAGAGCTATGGAGAAAGATCACAGGTTTTCTATCATCACCTGCTGGAAGTTCCTGTCTGTGAAATTTCACAATTTCACATACTGTATGAAGCCATGTTTGTGTCCCTCCCGGAGCCAATTAATGACTAAACACTCAGAGGCTTATCTGTTACTTAAAGTCTCAAATTATGAGGATGAGATTGGTGAACTCAGGGCAAGGATCACACTAAAATGTGAGATCTCCACCTGTATTTATAAATGAAGCTGCTAAGTAATGGGACTACTATTGTATTATTAAAAAAAAAACTATTAATAGTCAATAAGTTCACTCTTGGCACGCTCCTGAAAGTATAGTATGATCTATGCCACATTATATTGTTGCTGTAATCACTGACGTGTTTTTAGGGCATTGTATAAAAGAAGGACTTTACATGCTATAAATAATAAGTTAAATCCAGAATATCTTAATAAATAAATTATGGTAACAGCAGCAGTTCATTAAAACACTATAGTCCTTTTCTGACCTGGAGCTGTTTTTGCATTGCTCTGTTTAGAGAGTATGCTTTAAGCATCAGCTCTGACCTTAAAATTCCTGTAAGAATATCAAGGAGCTCAGCGTCAAATGAAATGAAAATGCGATGACAGACCACAAGATAACATTTTCATCTTGTTTGTGCTGTTATAACCCCGTAGCCTTCTCTAGAATATGCCTCTCTGTGCTTATGGGCAGTGACTTGTAGTCAAAAAATCACATCTGTCATCATTTAGACTATTTCACGAACACTGAACTGAGACGGAGTCCATTCCATTAAAATAAAACTTTTGTAATATGAGAGGAATATAAAGTAGACTTCCACTTTTATTCTGCTTACTAAGTCAGGTGCTCTTACTGTGCTGAAAATTAACTTTCATAAGGATCCCAGGATCTAAAAGCACATCAGCAGTATCAAAAGCCATGATTCTAGTCTGTGAAATTGCAACCTTTTCTGTGTGATTCTGTAACAGTGTTAATTTCAGCTATTTTTTAAGGTGCCTAACAATTGAATGGGTAATAATTTGTGGCCAAACACTGCTGGTTAGGACAGTTTTACTAGAATTGTTTTTCTTCAGAGACTGAGACAGTCACGTGATTATCCTATGTTTTACATGAAATATGTACTCTGTGTTATAAAATAACACATTAGAGGACTATAATGAAGTGTGCAGTAGTACAATAGTATGATAGTTGAGCATTAAACGGGAATGCTGTTAACATAAGATTCATTTTCAAGGAAGAAAATGTTCAAAGTAATTTCCACATAACAAAGCACATATCGAAGATAGTTTATAGTCTGTGAACAACAACGGGAGAAAGATACTGCTTACTACTTGTTCTTAATTGTTCTTTTATGTAACAATTAAAAGTAAATCCAACACTGATTGGGAAGAAGAGGAGAATAACAGTGGTGCACTAGCTTCAGTCTAAATCCTTAGCAATGGACTTCATACTTCTGAATAATACTATTTCTTGTCCCCAGTAGATTGTCTCCCCATTGGCGATTAAAGCTCTGGAGAAGCATGGTTTTAGCACTTTCTAAACCTTTTGGGTTAGTGCCTCAAACATTCAACACAGAAAGAAGAGGCAGCCAGGGAGAACATTATGAGTAATCCTGCAACATTTAAATCAAAACATTTGATACAGAATGAATCTACAGCAAGCTTTATCTTGAAGTATGATTTTGTGGATCAGGCAGGGTCTTACACATACACACATGCAGAAGGCTGATCATCACACAACTACATAGACAGAGCCTTAGTAAAAATGGATAAATCCCCTGTGTTTTGTGTTCCGAATTTCAATGTGTCTGGTTTCTTTATCATAAGAGCCACGAAAAGTAACTTTGGCAAAAACAGAAATAACTACATAGTGCTGCATAAGCTATTCCTATAATTATAAAGGCTGACAGCAAGACATGGTTGTTACAACAGATCCTTTAGTAGGGAAGAGTTGAGTGCACTTAAAATTGCATTTAGTGTCTGTACACAGAAGTTATAATAGTGATTGCTGATATTTTAGTCAGACATCTGTAGACAAGATCAGACCCAGTCAGAACCTAGTTTGCTTGCAAAGAAAAGTTCATTTTTGTTTTCATGCTGGCACAGATAAGTCCATTAGAGCCATGAAGCTAGCAGGCAGGAATTTGTCATTCAAATCCTGTAGCAAGACATGCAAACTTGCGCTGTGAGTCAAATAAGTAGATTATAGTGGAGGGTGTTCAGGCAGGCGAGAGCTTATTATCCTTGAAGCTTGGGTTAGTAATAGTGATTTTCCACAAAAAGGCTCTTGTCCAAATTGCACTGAAAGCAAAGCTTTGGCCTGAACTTCCTACATTGGAGTGCCACTGTTCACTACACTGTTCACCTCCCTAGGCTTGTACTGTAGATTACCTTCCAGTCTCCTTTCATTACCTTGTCAGAACCTGGCTTTATGAAAACTTAGGCAGAATTTTTCTCTTTGTTTTATGAGTCATAGCTTTTTATCCAAAGAAGTAAATATAATGGACAGAGCCTGGAAAAAAATGGGTACCCACTGTACATGTGCTACAACTTGAAAAAAAATAAATTTTGAAGAAAAAAATAAACGTTTGGATATTTCTTTCCAATGTATGTACCGAGTAACACATACAGTATAAGAAATCTGATGTTTCAGACATGATGCCCAAGTGGTTACCTTGAATTCAAGCCCTGATCCAGGCCTGTACTGTATATACCTTTCAAAGTAATTTAAGATGTTTAGGGAACATATATTCCAGGTGGAAATGACTTTTGAGAGGCTGAGAGATTAATAGGATTTATTAGTCTTAGTCGATACATTTTTTTGCTCTGATGTTTATTTTAATTTATTTTTAACTTCAGCAAATTCTTAGTCCAAAATACAGAAGCAATAAATATTTTACCAGTGCTAATCCAGTGGACTTGTAAATTATGCTCATTGAGTTAGTCAGTAAAGGGTGGCATAAAGCTGAAAGCCCTTTCCAAAAAATATATTTCTGGTGTCAACAGTGTTAAGAGTTTTCTCTAATGCAGGTTACATGCATTACAACCTCCATAGTGGATGGCTAAAACAGAGATGCTGACTTGTCTCTGTATTTGTTACATGATCAGAGCAGTAATTCTGTATTTTTAGTTTTTTGGAAAGTGTTAAAAAAAGTACAAATTAAAAGATAAAGTTAAGCCCTCCAGCACAATTCCTGCAGGCACAGGTAGAAATAAAATGTATGTTTATTTTGTATTAACCAAAAATTGAGTAATTTCTATACATAAAGTGTTTAAAACAAACTACCCAGCCAGATTGTTAATGATTAATCCATTGGAGTCTGGAATACAGTACATGTTTTAAAAGTCATTTGATGCATTAAAATTAAAAAATATGATTAACCAAATGGTTCATGATTTTTGAAGGATCATAATCAGGAAATGGGGTTTAAACAGCTCATTTGAAAGATTTATACTAAAAAGACTAATAAAATATTATTGTCAATTCTTGCAAGAACATCTATGCAAGATACACATTTCTTTTCATTAGGCAAGTACTTTATTAGAGCACTTTTCAAATGAAAGAAACACACCGTTTGACATCCATGACAACATATTTCTTAAAAACATGTCAAGATAGAAAAAAATATCTGTATAATATTCCAGGTGTTTGATGATAATGCTGTTGCCTTTACTGTAGTCCAGACGGATCCTAGCAGGGTTTGGCCTCAGTCTGGGGCAGGGCAACTTTAAAACCACTGCTCCACCTGCTGGTTATCTATAGAAATGCAACTCTTTACTACGCTGTTGAGAAACTGTTTGCCTCAGAATGGGGTGCCTCAGGATTGTGTCAAATTACTGGTCCTGTGAACTCACACATCTGCTGGTGTTCCTTGCAGCTGAGCTCTTTATTTAAATGAATCCTCCACTGAAACAACAAACTACTTGATTAGTACCCTTGCAGTTTTTTTTTACTTGAAGGTTGGAAATTATTGTGGAGTTATTTGAGTTACTTCATACATATTATTAACTGTATGAAGACCTCAATTATTCAGTTTGGGGTTAAAGCAGATCAGAAATGAGTAGGTGTGTGGATCTCTAGGACCAAAATTGGGAACCCTTACCTTGGAACAAGAGATATAGAGGTAGTGATAATTTTTAGTGATCTGAAGACTGAGTCAAATTCAATTGTCTGACTACTCAAGTTAGTTTCTGTTATATAATATATAATATATTAATATATATTATATAATAATGAAACATAACAGCTCAGACTGTCATGTCGGTCGTGTGGCAACCATTGTAGGAATTCCTGCATTTTCAGTAAACAGTAAATGAAGAAGAACAGAAAACATACTGTGTAAGGCTGTTTGTATTGAACTTGACATGAAGGCAATAATTCAAATTTAAATAAACATTGAATATGAAAATTTGAATCGATCATTTCAATTAATTTTCCTTCCATTAAGGCATACCATCTCCAGTCCTCCAGGGACATAGCATTTTAAGGATTTCATTTAATTGTAGACAGAACTCTTAAACAATGAATGCTTATAATTACTAGAGCTAATCGGTAGCTGTGATATTTCTAATGACTCATACATAATTCAAGCATGCAGGCTTGACTGTCTTGGTTGACAGACAGGAATGTAAAAAAAGGCTCCAAACAACATCGGGCCATTCTGCCCATTTCCTTGTTTGGTTCTTAGTAGTTTAGTTTTCTAAGAATTCTAAAGGATCCCAAACAGTAGGCTTCTGCCACAAGACTTGGAACTGCTTCCACAATCCCACAATCCTCTGTATAAAGAAATAGCTTCTGTGTTTGGTTTTCAGTAGCTCTAAAATTATTTTTTCTTAAATTTCCTGGATCCTGTTGCGTTTGATCTCAAAGAAGTTTGCTGAGTTGTCTTGGTCTTTGCCTTTTAAGATATTGACTTGGTTTTACAGTCAAGTCATTTCAGTCGCTCCAAGGGATTAAATAACTAAATGAATCATTACCAGCCTCAGGTTGCTCATATTGCATGTAATAGATTTTACCCAGAAACACAAGTTAAATTCAGAAAATGCAGTGGTTCAATATCGAAGTCCTCAAAAGACCACAAACTAGTATGTCAGACAGATTTCTTGAAAAAACTTATATTACCTTAACATTACATAATTACAAAATTAGACGTAAAAAGCTTTGTTATAATAGTATATTAATATAATATAATAATAATACAGTATATAATATATTGTTGTAATAATATATTAAATATTTTGTCAAACACAATGCAATGTACTATACACACTTGAAATAAAACATGTAGTAGATAAGGTTCAATCCATGTACTATAAACCAGATTACAGAAATTTATTTTGTTCTGAAAATATATTGTTCTGATCTGCTGTATTGCTTTTTTTATGTTGCTGCACAAAAGCTAGTCTAATTTAATACCACAGGGTACATTAGAAGAATATTGCAGGAATATTTTATGGCAAGAACAAGTCATTCAGCCCATTAGAGCTTACTGGTGACTCTACAGGAGTGGCACTAATTGACTTTTTCTAGGCTTTCAGCTACAGTACAGTATGTATTTGCTATGGGTTGACAGTGTCCTTGAATGCCACCCCCCTGCAGAACTTCCAAATATCTTCAACAATCTGCTTGATCCTGATACTTTATCTTTTATCACGCTGTGCCTTCTAAGAAATACTCAGGTGCTGTTTCTGCTCAGAATGGTTTTTGCCAGGTTAACACATTACTTTAGCAGTGTAGGCTTTTGAAAAGATACTCCCCAATTCTCCCCAGTTCAGCTCTAGAGAAACAGGCTCACATCTGTTGATGTATAGGTTTCTATACGGCATTTCCTGAACAGCTGAGCCTGGGCTAACCCCTGTCTCACCACTACGCATAAGGTCTTTTTTTTCCGCTCTCCTGCCATTCCACGGTTCGTCCCTTCAGACGTCCGTGACAGGAGTAGGCTGTGATGACAGTTTGTCTTTAAATGCCTTCAACTTAACGTTTCTATCTTGATAAGATGAAGTGCATTTGATTTTGCAACATGAGCAGGCAGCCCCAGATTCTGCATAAAACCCAACAGACCCATCATCCTATGATCTCTCACTTACTTCTTTTGGTTTAGAGATACACTGGACTGCATATCATATTACTGGTACAATTAGATGAATAAGAGAGTGAACTTGCAGGGTGGTTAGTGGCTCAGTGAAATCTCTGCCTCCTGTGAAGGCTGGAGTGTGTTGTTGTACTTTCTGTAGGTGAACAGAAAAAGTCCCATCCTGACCACTGTTCGGCATGGCTGTTTCTGTCTTCCTAGATCATAAAGGACCGCGTGTTCTCACACATCTCTCGCAACAAGCTGATGTGGAACGCCCTGCCTGGAGGTCTGCTGGTCCTACCGGAGTATTCAACCCATCTGGGACACTTCCCTTTCTACTACCCGAGCCAGGGTGAGACTGCGGGAGAGATGGCAAGGAGGTCCTGGGGCGTCCTTGGGACAGTCCTGCGTTCTGGTTTTTCTTACAGCTGAGCCCTCAATCCATCTTCATGAAGCTAGTTCAAGCTTCCCAATTCCCTTTTTGTGTCCTAAAACAATTACTGTTCTCGTAATAGCTTAATAATTTTACAAGTAACGGCAAGGGTACCCGCTGAAAGCAGTTCAAAAGGTCTAAAAAGATATGGGGGGGATTAACATTCAAGACGATTCAGCTTTTCTTCATTAGCCATGTATTCAAATTCATTTTTGGATCCTTCAGTTCTTTCATTTGCGATCGGTAGGTTGGATTGTATCGTTAGGAACTTTCCTGTAATGAAAGAAGAAGTACAGTAAAAGCAACTGTAAGTCAGTAAACGTCAAGTACAGAGGTGTTCATCGAATTGAACAAGAGGACTGAGGAAGGATACACTTTCTTAACTAAAGTAGCTCTTACTCACGTATACATATTTGTCAGCATTACCCATTTATCCAGATGGCAGAAATTTTGCTCTGGCACAGGCGTATGTGTTACTTATGTAACAGGCCTATGTGTTGCATCAATTCTGGATCGATGGGAATGGCACACACTACTTGTTTAGTAGTGAAGGGCACTTATTTAACCATCTCACCTTAAAGAAATGGCTTTTATATATAAATCTCATTCATCTTTCCCTCTCAACTTACTTCATCAAAGGCAGCCAACATTACAGCACTGTAATAGTGCACATTAGGATGTGAAGAGCTCTCTGTGTGATGGATGACTACAGTTTTGAGAAAGCCAGATGCACCATTATTCCACTGCCCTGTTCACCTTGCGCATACTCTGTCCGTCTTTTGGTCTCCACTTACCCCCCTTTCCCTCTGCCTCCTAATCTGTCTCTCTCAGGTCTCAGTCCCGGGCAGGAATTCACTGCTGTTATCCACGCTGTCTCACCTTTGGTCTCACAGTCACAGCCAATCATGAAGCTCCTCCAAGTGGTGTCCAAGTCAAAGTACTGTTCACAGGTACTATACAGCATTGAAAGGCTTATTCACAGGCCCATTGGCTGCGGAATCGAATACATTGTTAGAAGTCCATTAATCAGTGAATGATTAATTAATTAATTAACTCTGCATTCATCAACTAATGTGTTTAATTGCTTAAACTTTCTCTGTTGATGTCAAAACAAGGTCAAAGGGTGATTTGTCTAGCAATTGCTTCACAGTGGAAGATGAATGTGGGGAAATACAGTATATCTGCAGGTACACCTACAATATTATTAAGCTTTGCAAGCATAGAATTTTGTGTTAATGAAAGTGTCTTTTGAGGGGAAATTACTCCTTTGTATTGTGAAGGGTGCTAATTTATTTACATTTAGGGGCAACAGAGCAATGTACTAGTGAAATAATATGGTTGGAGCAATCTATATCAAGCGTATTGAGGTTCATCAAGGTCACCTGATTTGTTTTGATGGCAAGGGAGAAAGGAAAGTGAGACAGCTAGGAACTCAACCGAGGCACTTTGATACATGATAATATTCTAGAGAGAGAAAACACAGTTTCAGCACTTACCGCTGATGAGGGCTGATAATTTCCTTGCTGAGCAGCCAAGTCACCCCTTTCCTTTCAGATCATTATTCTGTGGAACTGTGAGAAGCCTCCACCGCCCAGGAGCAAGTGGCCCCAAACACCAGTGCCTCTGACCATCGTGGATGGGAAAAAGAAAGTAAGTCATAACATTACCGAATGTGTGCACACAAAGATAATGCCACCCTTTCCTGGGTCTTGACTGAACCTCAAACACACACTGAAATCTACCTCTACATCACATGTCAAGAAGTTCACTCCCCATCATTTTCTGTCCTTTATTTCATTCTGTTGATGTATGATTTTGCACAACTGATTTTGTTTTGCACATTACCTGTTTCCTGTTGTTGTTTTGCTCATTGCCTGTGGTCTCTGTCTTTCTTATACAATTGTATTGTTGTTTCTTTGTAATACTTACCGTCTGAGAGCTAGCTAGAGCTAGTTAAATAGCATTTTGTTGTACCGTATACAGTACCTGTGTATGAGTATAATGACAATAAACCTGAACTTGAAACACAGGAGCAAAAGTAACAAGAGTGAATGTTAGTGCCTGGGAAAATCCTTGCTCTACTTTTCAAAAACGCTTTCAAGCCAAACCATTTCCTGGATTCTTTTTTGTGACCTCCCACAGGTTAGTAGTCACTTCCTGCCCCATAGTGCCATTGAGACAGATGCCGTTTTGAGTCTCGATGAAGATGCTGTTCTGCTGACAAGTGAGGTGAGTCCTATGGGCTTTGAATTTGCTTTTGAGTGTGCAGATGCTGTATCATTCAGATTCTAGTAAATACCTCCAGAGCAGTGGTCTCACATTCATTCCCTGGAGAGTTGCAGTGTCTTCTGGTTTTTATTCTATCGAGGTACTTCACAGACTCGATTAATTCTGCAATTGTCCACAAATGCATCCCCATCCACAAATGATTAAAAGCGGTAATCTGGAAAGAATTGTATGTTTTAAGTGATCATCTACAAGGACAATTGTACATAAGATGTATTTCTGTTCAACAAAAAAATATCTGAAGCTGAGAATTTAAGAAGGCAGTGAGACCCCTGCCTTACGGTATTGAAAAGCCTGGGTTGCATCATACAATATCAACTAGCTGTTGTCTGATCTAAATTTAAATCCCAGAACCAGTTTTCTTTTATGTAATTTTGCAATTAATGAATTAGATAAATGCTTGATTACTTTATTAGCATACAAATACAGTTAGTACTGTAATTAGTACTAGTTGGTACTTGTCTGTCACTTGATGTCAAATTATGTTTGTATAACGGTAAACTACAGTAGGAGGCAGGAGTTACTCATTATTTGTCCTAGCTCACGGATGATTTACATCCTTGCCCCAAATTATGGAAGGCCATACTCTTATAAATAATAATTCTTTACTCTTATATAGCATTTTTCTGGACACTCCACTCAAAGTGCTTTACAGGTAATGGGGTCTCCCCTCCACCACCACCAATGTGTAGCACCACCTGAATGATTCGACAGCATCCATAGTGCAACTGTATGCTCACCACACCAGCTATCAGTGGGGTGGAGAACAGAGAGATTAAGCCAATTCATACATGGGGATTATTAGGATATTATTGGTAAAGACCAATGGGAAATTTGGCCAGGACAATGGGGTAACACCCCTACTCTTTTCGAGAAACGCCCTGGGATTCTTATTGACCACAGAGAGTCAGGACCTTGGTTTTACATCTCATCCGTATACATCACTATACTGGGGCTTTAGGACCCACACAGACAGCAGGGTGAGCGCCCCCTATTGGCCCCTCTAATACATCTTCCAGCAGCTTCCTTAGTTTTTCCCAGAAGGACTCCCATTTCCCATCCAAGTACTGGCCAGGCTCACACCAGTTTATCTTCAGTAGGTTGCCAGTTGTGAGTTGCAGGTTGATATGGCTGCTGGCATATTAACTTGTGAGACATCATGAAGATGATTAAATCAGACTACAAAATAAAATGCAAAAAGAATATTATTCAGTATTCAGTCTGTGTGCTCCGCTCGGGAAAAAGCTTGTAAAAATACTTCTCAAGCCCACATAATCAGGGTTGTTTGCAGGACCAGCTGTTCCATTTTTTTATGAAACAGGGAATAGATTTTCCCCAGGCTGACTAACTCAGAAGATTGTCTATAAATCCATATCTATATACTCTTTCCATTATAACAAATATTAAAGGCCCAGTTTCTACCTGGTGTTATACTGAGATTATGATCTTCACTTCATAAGTAATGAAGAAATAAAACAAACAAGGAATGAAAAAAAAACAAAACCTCACATCCTTTTCTCTGCAGGTAAACTTTGCCTTCCTGGTGTGGCGCAGCTTCCCAGATCGGATCGTGGGATATCCTCCTCGCAGTCACTTCTGGGACAGTAGCAAGCAGCTCTGGGGCTACACCTCCAAATGGACCAATGAGTACTCGATTGTGCTGACTGGGGCAGCCTTCTACCACAGGTAATCTAACCCTATAAACCACTCAAAGCTTGGTTATTGCAAACTATCTCCAATTAAATCAGAGATGAAGAGCAAAGACAAAAGCCCTTCAGCTCTTGTAGTACATGAGGTGTCCTATATACACTGCAGCCGTAGAGCCAGATCATGATCTCACCGCTGTAATGATCCCACACTTCTGACAATGGTCTCTCTGTACATAGGTACTATCACCACCTCTTCACACACTACCTCCCTGCCACTCTGCGCAACCTCATTGACCAGACAGCCAACTGCGAGGACATCCTGATGAACTTCCTGGTGTCAGCTGTCACCAGGCTCCCACCAATCAAGGTCACACAGAGGAAGCAGTACAAGGAGGTGCAGGGCCAACAGGTGAGTTACAACTGCATGATCTTCAGTCAAAAGGGGGCGGGGCAGAAGAGCAACGATGAGCTCTGACCTCCCGGCTAATGTGGGCTGAGGGTTGCAGTTCTCATCCAGATTGATCCATCTGTATCCGACTCCTGCAATGGAACAGAATCTTATGCAGTCACAGACTTTTTAAGTCCTCTTCCTGCGATAAAAAAACGGGATAAGAGCTGTTCCTGAATTTGAATATAGAATTTACATTGTGTTTCTTCATTACTCTACAAGAGAAAACATCAGTCACTATCTTTTATAGTCTAGAGCAGTGGTATCCAGTTCTGGTCCTCCGGCATCTCAAGTCTTACAGGTTTTGAGGGTGTCTTTGATAACTGGCTACAGATAATTGTATTATTGTATATTACACAAAATAGTAAATTAGGCAGAATTAAAAGATAAAAGTGAGTTTTTAGTTAACTGCAAGATCAGATATGGGTTGGGAGCTCATTCTACACTCTTTGGCAACAGACCACATAACTGGATCTAAGCAAAATCTGAAGAGCACAAATAACATGTACTGTAGGTGAAGGGTATGGGTAATAGCTCACTGACATAGTCAGGAGCCAAACTATTCAACCTTTTGAAGGTGTGCAGAAGCATTTTGGATTGTAGATTCATATGGAGATTGATTTAATATTTTAATTAATTAAACCAGTTTTCCTTTTGATCAATAACCGAAAGCTTGATTGAAATGAAAGCCAGCTCAATGCAACGAGGCAGAGACCCCTGGCATTAGGTAATGGGCACAGTTGTAAACAAAAAGTAGCACTTTTGTTCTGAAAGTTATTCACCACTTCATTTCTTTGGAGAGGGGGCACCATATGTATTGATATAAATGAAAAGACACATAGAGCCACAAACGGAAAACAATATAAAAAAAAAAAAACATGACACAGAAAAGATAGAAGAGAGTAAAAGACAAAACAAACAAAAAAAAAATAAAAAAAAACTCCGAAAAAAATTTAAAAAAAAACAACCGGAAGAAGTTAAAAAAAAAACCGGAAAAATAAACAAAAAAGGCAAGGGAACAAAGAGCCGAAAAAAAAACCAAAAGAATGGTTAACAAGCCAACCTCCAAGGTCAAAACAACCCAAATACCAAAAAAAGAAAACTGGAATGCCAAAAAACTTTAAAAACCAACGAAGAAATAAAAAAAACTGAGCAGCACCTTTACTTCATTTCCAATGAAGTTCTTCATAATATTTTATTGCATAAAAAAATCCATGTGGAATTGTTGTGGAATGTTTTTCCATAAAAGCATTTTCTTTGCCAAAAGCCAGTAACATATAAATATCCAAGAATCTTGCCAAGTAACACTAATGCTCAAATAAACCTACATCCCAAATTTTCCAGACAAATGATTAAATATCCTGGTCCTTTGAGCACAGCTTCTTGATTTGACAGGGCTGACGTCTTTGACCGACACACAAAATACAAGTTATTAACAGAAGTTTGGGAGGGTTAACAATCAAAAGTCAATAACACACAGCTGTTCCTAATCACCCTCACTATGAAGTTAGCTATACTGTACATATCGAACATAAACACCTCCCTTTGCGTTCGTCTCAAGCATCCCTCCTCTACTCCATCTCCACCTTGCAGCTGCCCCTGGGTTCACTCCTCTCTGAAGGGGCTTCAAGCCAAGTGGGTTAACCCAAATGTTTCTCACCAAATATTCCAAACATTCACAAAGCATTCAATTCCTGGATGTTCTTGTGCCTAATCAAATATTACGTGGAATTCCTGTACTGTTTGTCCATACCGGAATTTATTTAATGAGAACAATCACATCAAAAGAAGATCAGTCATGAGGGAACAACAAAGGTTAGGAACTACTTTAATTTTATCAGCAGGGTGAAGAAGGCATTAGTCAAGAAAATCCTTCCTGGCCCCTTCCTTAAGAGGTTTGCTGACTCCCATGATGCCATGCTAATGGTTGTCTTCGCTCTTCCCTCAGGGAATGAAGAGCACACACTGGGCGAACCCTGATCATTTTTCCCAACGGCAGGACTGCATCAACGCCTTCGCCCGCTGGTTCGGCTATATGCCCCTCACGCACTCGCAGTTCCGCCTGGACCCCGTTCTCTTCAAGGATCAGGTCTCCGTGCTGCGCAAGAAGTACAAGGACCTCGAGCGCCCCTGAAGGACAGACTGGGGAGGAGGGAGCAGGCTGGCAGGGACTGCGCTGCCCACCTTCAGCAGCAACAATGCCCAGCAGTGCACCCCCCTCGCCCCCATCTCGCAACTCAGGGATGGTCTCCAGATTTTGGATTTAAGAGAAGCAGCTGGAAGAGCCATGGCTAGCCTCCCTTCCATTCTTTTCTAGCACCTAGAGGCTGGGGAGAGAGAAACTGTGACAGAGACGCACTGCAGTTTGATTCGGAGTCATGTAGGTGGGCGCGTTTTTCACAAACTGGACATGAGCTCTCTGTCTCCAATGGGCTTATAACCAAGCATTAATACTCTTTCTACAGATTGACAATAAAAATACACTCTTCTGTAAGTAAGATTGTATGTAAAACTGAATAAACAGAATGATGATCTCATATAGGTTATCCCTGCGAAAATGTCTTCTTTTACAAACTAAGAATGTCTACCCTGCATACATGAGATTTAAAATCAAGGTGGAGTGTCACTGGTAAGCTAAAATGCCTAAAGCCACTAACACTAATGGTCGTTTGCTGAAGGTCAAAAGAGAAAAAGCAAATGTTCTCAATTTCAGGTCTATGTCCATCTGTCATTAAAATTCCTTGAACTTGGCAGTAAACTTGATAAGATTTACTTTTCATGAAAACCAGTGCATCAGAGCAGGTAAGCGCCACCAGTCTTCCATAAAAATATGCTATTTAACCGTTTACAGTTAAATTGAAGATTTTTTTCAAAAAACCTCCCCAAGCAAGCAAATCCCCCAAAATCAAAACAATGAACTTGAAAATCCCAACAACAACACAAATAATGCAAAAAAGAAAAGGAAAAGAAAAGCAAAAGTAAAAACGGAAAATTTTTTTTAATAAAATATTTAGAATAATAGAATAGCCAAATATTTTGTAGTACACACTCTATTTGGAATACTTAGAGTATTTTGGCTTGCGGCTATTATCCCAGTGACCACATTCAGGAAAGAATGCAAGCACAGCACTGGTCACAGGGGGCGCTGCGCCACCAAGAACTGAGAGAGCCCTGGCCGACTAATCCCAGGCTATTATCTCAATCCCAGCCGGCTAGTGGCATGATCTAGACTTGAACTCGTGCTCATATATCTCAGCCTGCACCAAGAAGACTAATTGCAATATAAATGGAAATTTCACATTCTTACCAGATAATGGCTGATTTTCTATAATAAACATCTTATCTAACAAACAAGATGGAATTTATTTCATTCTGTTATAGTGTGTCTGATCAAAAGAGACAGCTAGACTTATTGATCTAGACAAGAGTGAAAGACTCTAAAAGTGTTGCAGACAGTGCCAATATAAAACAATTGAGTGTTAGTCCTTTTGGCACTGTTCCAGTGGGTAAGCTTCATTGATCACCCAATTGGCATCTCACTTTAAAATTTCAAGGCCAGTAAATTAATCAATCAGACTCCTATTAGGAAACTAAGAGCCTCCTAACTGTTAGGAAACAAACAGTTTGCCATTTTATACTGTCTCAAAACAGACAATGACAAATTCAGCGGTTTTGTCCTGTAAAGCTGACCGGCAGTATCTTTTCAGACCATGTGGGTCATTAGTACCGATGAGATAAAGGAGATACAAATCTGTGGTTTGACTTAAGTGCCACCATGGGCTGACTAAAGCAAATAACATACTATCATTTTGCTTTTGTTTCCTAGCAAATGGCAATAGCTGTAGATTAGGGGAGAACAAAGTATTGTTGCTTTTGTGATTTCTGAAATGGTTTAAAAAGCAAAAAATAAGACAAAAGTAATCCAAGATCATCTGTAACTGCAAAATCAAATAAATTAAAAATGGTTTTGCTTGACTCTGGTTTCATTTTTATACTATACAATTTGCCTATCAACTAGTAATAGTGAGTGGTTCTTAGCACTCCCTGCAGTGATTTAATTGATTGGCTGATATGAATACTGTCAATCTATATGTTTTCCTTGTGGTGTTCACTGATGGCACTAATATTATGAATATTATACACTCAAATTTACCTTGTTCTGTAGAAGAAAATATTGTTCTTCTGCTTAGTTCCATAAGAACTGCAGTGCCTTCAAGCTTTGTTCCTCCAAAGCAACTGCTCTGTGGTTGAGTTATTTCCTATAAGACAACCTATGATAATTTGCAAGATCTATATATAGATTAGAAATGCTCCTAATCCAGTTCCTGGAGGTCAATACACATGGCTTTCTATCAAATAGCTAAGCTTCTTACTTCAATTTCTCATAGAAGTCATAGATTTTAAGTTACTACTGTAGTTAGACAAAGGGCAACCTCCAAAGTTTTCAAGATCTGAAAAATGTGAAATAAAAAATAAATCCTATTATTAGTTTATTGAGGTTCAACTGTATACATGAGGCCTCAAATGGAATAAAAATCATTTGCCACAAAAAGCAGAAATCACTATAGCAAAGATTTTTAATGGCCTAGAATCCAGCAGCTAGAATCCTACCACCACAAACAACCATTGTATGAGATTAAATACAGGTGTCAGAAAGTGAAGGCAGCATAGGCTGTAATCAACAGTTTGTAGATCTCATCAAGTCAACACAAGATTTTAATTTGTGTGGAACAGTTCAATCTGTCCAATTTAACCCTTAACTGAACAAATGTAGCCTTTCACCTGAGGTCTCGTCCTGTTGGTTTTGGAGATTACAAAATTAATGGATTGTTACCAGGGCAGACCATTCCCCATAGAAAAGGCTTGTGTTGGAATACAGGAGTATATGGTTTTATATGGAAACTTGAGGACACTTTCACAATATACTGTATGTTTCTTGTGAGGATGGTGGGTGACTGGACCCACCTGGACTGGACTCCAGAGAAATGGCTACAGGAGAACCTTGGATCTCAAACTACTGCTATGAAACATGTATAACCTCTTAAACTAGAAAAACATGGTCAAACTATACAGTAAATGATTCACCGTTACATTTTAAAGTATGCTACTTTAGATAAAACTCTGCTAACAAAATAACTATATATATAGTATACAGTATGTATAATCAATGCACATACACATTTTGATATAAAAGGATAGGGGAAGGTTAGCCTAATCTGCACTGCAGTCTTGTCTGATAGAGAAGACAACAGTAAGATACTCAATTCTGGTAGCAAACTGAGTCGTGTTAATGGTTAAATGCTTATGGGACCCATGCACACCCTTCAATCATTATGTTATTTCTGTTTATAGCCTGATGTGGAAAGACTAAGGCAGTCAGCATTTCAGCATGTGGCACTAGCTAGCAAGCAGTCTTATCTCTATTACAGCCCTAATTAAATTTAGATGCCTGAGGGAAACTACAGGGCAGTGCAGAATATTATTGATTGATTTATCTGGCTTCTGCTTTTATCCAAAGTAACTTCCATTTGTACCCATTTACACAGCTGGATCAATCTGAGTGAAGTTCATAGCTCAAGGGTACAACATCTGCACCCCACAAAATCCTAGTACTAAGTCCATATCCCTAACATCTATACCACATTACTGCCTAAATTTCAAAGACTACTGCTAGGACAAAAATACACTGGAAAGAAGAAAGATACAAAGGATATTCCAATTTATTTCAGTAAAAAAATACAGAAAGATTCTATTTTACAGATTCAATAGTTTATAATTATGCCAAGCAGTTTAGAAGTACAAGAAGGACAATGCAAAACCAGAACAGTCCTTTATGCTGTTGTGAATTAAAGCTTACAATTACAATTTCTTATCAGGAATCACAATAAACAGTTGTACTTTCTAATTACGTCTTTAACTCTGTATTTAATTCTGGAGCTCAGCACAGAAATGACATCGGCATACATCTTAAAAGATTTATGTATTTTTTTAAATTCTACTCACCAGATTAGGAACTGCCAATTCTGAAGACCAAATCTCACCTCTTAATAACAGCAGATGTTATTTTTGCCTTTTCAATGATTGAATTTAAAAAATCCAAACAGGTCAAGGGTTTCAACACAAAAGCCTACTCCTTTGCTTCATATCTAAAATTAAAGAAAAGATTAAACAAAAAAAAAACCATCCCTACAAAAAAAATAATCTCACCTTCCATCAAAACCAAACGGATTGCTCTCAAAGAGCAAGGTTCCTATGTTGTCACAGAATAGTGTCTATTGTTTAGTGGTTGAAGTTTAATAGTTCAGTTCAAGGAAAGTTGGTATTGTAGTCAAAGCTTAAATTAACAGTGGCTGGTTAGGAATACGTTAAGGAAGATGGTGACTAATGGGAGATTATTTTCTTTGTCTCATTATTATTTCCAGATTTTTTCTTTATGTTATGTTAACATAAAAACAGATAACATATTGCTTGAAACAGACATAAATGTGTAATTGATATATGATGGATGAAACAGCACAGTGGAACCTGCCAATTTAGATGCCTGAATGCAAGAACATCAATCATCTCACTATAAGAAATAAAAAAAAAAGATACAGATTTCCTAATATTGGAAACATGCACAATTGCTAATCACATTTACTATTTACTTAACAGTGGCAACTGCCACCCATGATGAAAAACGTATCATTTTCAATGGAATCCAATTATCAGATAAATATAAATCCAATATGTAAATACGCAATGAAATAGTCAAACCTTTAATTACACTTTATTATTACTTTTGGTGAAAAAAGCATATGCATTTAATGTGGCAGGTGATCTTCTTGTGCAATCAACATGTTATAATAAAGTTTTTCGTTTGTGATACCCGTCCACATCAAATGCTTTAAAGGGGCAATTAGGAAACAACACTGGGAAAATGTTTGTACGGGAAAGAGAGCATAAAACCACATCCAGCTGTTCCAGGCCTCAGGTTACTTCCTCAGGGTCAGCATGGCATTGATGTCCCACAGCAGGTTTCTCATCTGGTCCATCAGCACCTTCATCTCTTGGTTCTTCTGCTTGACCTTCTGAACACAATCACCACAAAGGACACTTAATGTACTGTATGCAGAAGGCTCTGCATGTCTGCAGCTACTGAAGACAGTTAGGATCCCCTCCTAATTCAAGGCTGATGGACCCGAACCTGCCTGCAAACAACCACCATCACCACACCCATGGTGTAGCACTAAACACCTGATTCATTACTTTGTAAATAGCATAGAGTTATGTCCTGGGTATCTGACCTCAGTGGGGCTGGATGAACAGGTTTGTGAACAACACATAAAAGATTTTATATATTTATAATGTGCGCACAGTGACATGTAATTGGAAATTTGGGTTCAACTTTCAAGAACATGATGTTTTGCAAATTAGCTGCTTTATTGACAAGACGTGCCTTTAAATGTAAAACAAGAAATAAGAGCACATTTAATCTGATAAAGTATGGGTATTATAAATGGCTGAAGGGAGCCGTGTGCAGGATTTACTTCTTCATGGATAATCTGTCAATGATTTGTTTCCGATAGATCATCTGCCTGCTCCATGTCCGGACTTAGTCTATGCTTTCATAGTAAATAAAAAAATGTTGCATTAACAGAGTGCATCTCTATCCTTAAATTACAAATGAACTCATGTAGTCTACACCAGTAGCATGGCATGCCCAGAGTTCTATTGTGACCCATCAGACTTTTAAACAGGCAATACAGATTACCTGTAGTGTTAACTACACGACAGGGGGAAATCTATTGGAAATCTGAGAATTCCAGTTAAATTGTTTGAGCTACCAAGGCTAAGAACCCTATTTGTTGGATTAATACAGAATTTAGAACAACCACAAACCCCTAAAAAGACGTTACCACCTACAGCTCAGCCTTCCCCGTTAGCATACTTGGGCGTTAATCTGGAATCCCAAATCACGAGGGTGGTGTACCACCTACTGTTTCACTACCTCATCCAGCATCAACCACATTAACCTAGGTTCTTAAAATGATCTTCTGTACTGTGAATATCATGTCTGGAATAGGGAGAGGTAATGCAAGCTCAAAAAAATTCCTTGGGATTATTAAATGACTAACCTCACTTATTTCTTGACGCTCCTGGGTAACAGCAATGCTACAGGGCTCCACAGGCACTATGCTTACCTCCGCACTGGTGTAAGGGATGAGCTGTGAAGACAGGAAAAAAAGTGAGTCATACCACAGCCTTTTAAAAAGCATTGGGCGGATTTATAAAACAGGAAAAGAAGTTTTGCAAATACAGCAGCAATAAGCTTGACTGAAACAAGGAGTGGCACTGTTTAGCTACTTGAGGCTGGCTACATGCTGTTTCACTTGGGTATAAACCACCACAGCATATAAATGCACTGGCATGTTTAATGAAATGAATAATGTGGTATTTGCAAGTTAGGCAACAATGCAGAGAACTCCCCAATCCTCTGCTCAGAAAAACAAAATGCAACGACCCAAGAACATATGTTGCCAATTTTACAATGAAACCAAAAAAAAAGAGCAGACCTCGCTGGGCGTCTCGTGGAGGTCAGAGGTCATCTCCATGCAGCGCTCGTAGAGCAGGCGCAGCTTGCGGAAGAGCAGAGCCAGCTGGCGCAGGTGCTCCTGCAGCTTGTTGAAGCGCTCCTGGTACACCGCATGGCTCTGAGTCACGCCGTTGGGCAACTGGAACAAAACCGAAAAGAGGTTTACAGGAAGGCCACTGGAAGCACAGACATTTCTATAAAATCCTAGATGTTGTGAGATAGATTTTTTTGCTGGCAAAAGTTACAAAATGATCAAAACGTCAAATCCAATAAAGCTTCAGGTGTAGGTCATTACAGGGCATGGCAGGATACCATTTTTCAGTCGGCATCTTCACTTTGGATCAGCCTTGAAACGTTCGTCCAAATGTCAGGTTGACAACAAAAAAATAAAAATAGCAATTAAAATAACCATTAACCTAAGCACAAAATAAGAAACACATTACCGTTATTGCACGACAGGCGATTGATCTCACACCTTTCTTCAAGTTTCTGCGCGATTGCGTGACTGAGACAATGCACATATTGCAATGCAGAGTTGTATAACACTTTCAACATTTTTACATTTCTGCTTTTCAGAGTGGAACTAACCTTGTTCCTTTGATGCCAAGGCACACTGACAAAGGTCTCCGCACAAACCATATACAGTAAGAAAATGATGTGAGAGAGTAACATCCCACACCTTCATTACACTAATTCAGTAGGTTCCCTCCTACTGTATATGTAATGTGCTGTGGGATCCACTGGGATAAGCAGGAATCTATTATCATAGTGGCGATACCAGTTTATATACTCCAAAATATAGATGGGTCAAAAGATCAACTTGTGTATTCAAAATGAAAATTTTCCATATATTATATACATCAGTGGTTCTCAAACTGTGGTACGCGTACCGGCAGTGGTACGTGGCGTGCCGCCAGGTGGTACACCAAATGACCCTCGAACTGTGTTGTGTGCGCTGAAAAAATCGGGACGGGTTTTCATATTTTGTATTTTTATACGTGTCGAATACGCAGCCTATGCACTACGATACAGTGCGCGCTAATACTTCAGTGGACACGAGAGATACTCTGTAATTCTATACCACTCTATAGGAATGCGTGCTACGGACGCAAATGACCAATTGTATTTAAAAAAAGCTACTGTATCTCCAGCAAATAGGGAGAAAGGAGAATGTGCGTGATTTTTGAACAATGCCAACGTTGTAAACACAGGAATGCATA